CGTGGCGCCCACGCGGAACTCGAACGCCTGCAGCGCCTCGAAGTCCAGCGCCCTCAGGGCGAACAGGTGGCCGTTGTCCGCGTTGATGGACACCAGCGAGGCCAGGGGCAGCTGCGGGTCGTGGGGCGGCAGCAGCGAGTAGGTGAGCTGGGCGTTGGCGCCCGCGTCTCTGTCTGTGGCGCTGACGCTGCCGATGTGCAGGGCGGGGCTGTTGTTCTCGCGGAGGAACAGGGTGTAGGAGGTTTGGGTGAAGGCGGGGGCGTTGTCGTTGACGTCGGAGACCAGCAGGGTGATGTTGTGCTGGGTTTTCAGCCTGGGGGTCCCCATGTCGGTGACGGTGATGGTGACGTTATACTCGGCTCTGCTCTCCCTGTCCAGTGGCCTCTCCGTCACGAGGGTGTAAAAGTTCTTGAATGTGGGTTTCAAGAGAAAAGGAATATCGTCCTGGATGGAACAAACCATCCTGCCATTGTCCCCGGAATCTGGATCAGAAACACTGAAAACAGCAACTACAGTCTCCGGGGAGTTTTCTGGGGTCGAGCTGGCGACTTTCGACAGCGTCAGTTCCGGGGCGTTGTCATTCACATCCAGCACCTGGATAGCTACAGAGCATTTCCCTGAAAGGCCTCCACCGTCTGTGGCTGCAATTTCCACGTTATAATATTGAGTTGTCTCGAAATCCAATGCCCTTTTCAGACGAATTTCTCCTGTTATTTCATCTATTACAAATGGTTGAGTAACTTCATCGCCTTGAAAAAGAGTGTAAGCTACATTCCCATACGTTCCGGCATCTGAATCACGGGCGGCGACAGTAACAACTAAGGAGTTTATGGGGCTGTTTTCCAGGACCTGTGCCTCATACACAGACTGTAGAAACTCGGGGGCGTTGTCATTGATGTCCAGGACTTCGATGCGGAGGGCAGTGGTCCCTGACCTGGGCGGAGCCCCACCATCCAGCGCGGTGAGGGTTAAACTGAGCTCGGGCTGCTCCTCCCGGTCCAGCGCTTTGTCTAGCACCAGCTCGGGGTATTTTCTGCCATCTCCGCGATTATGAGTGACAACATGAAAATGGGGGTTGGGGCTGATTGAGTAGTTCTGAACAGTGTTGCTACCTATGTCAAAGTCCTGAGCTGTTTTCAAAGGAAACACAGTCCCTGGCTGGACGCTCTCTGGGATTTTTAGGAGCATTTCCCTGTCTAGGAACTCCGGGGAATGGTCATTTATATCCGTGAGCTGCAGATCAGCTTGAAAAAACTGCACCGGCTTTTCCAGTAACAGTTGGAATTGCAGTATACAGGGATCTGTAGCCCCGCACAGCACCTCCCGGTCTAGTTTTTCGTGTAGAAGCAAATTCCCTGTCTTTATATCTAGCTGAAAGGGCTGTTTGTTTCCTCTGTAATGGATTCGCGCGCCCCGAGTGGCCAGTTCCCCCACCCTGAGCCCCAGGTCTTTTGCCAGGTTGCCCACAAAGGAGCCACTTTCCGTCTCTTCTGGCATGGAGTACCTAATTGCTTCCGAGCCAGCCTCCCACAAAAACAACAATATAACAAGAAAGACAACTTGCCTTTTCTGTGGCGTTTCTGCCAGCGTGGTCTCCATTGTTCAGACCCAGTTCAAGAAGGTGCAGTTTCTTCAACCCGGTACAGTCAATCCAGAGGGCTTCGTTAAATAACCTCGAATTAGATCTTTCTGGCTGAGTCGCACTAGAACGATGCCCTCTCTGAAGATCTCTTCCCCTAGATCTTAACTGAAATGCTGCCTTCTTTTAGGAAGCAGTCAACGTTCTGATTTCCGAGCTTAATGGCGTCCCGGGTCCACAAAGCTCTTCATTCGAACTCTTAGCCTGCAGCGCCACCAGGCGTCCTTACTTACTATTACAAATAGTATTTGCTATTCATTCCAATTTATAACTTTGGTGTGTATCAATATCTTTTTAAGTCCCAGAAACCTCCAGTTCTTAGTTATTGGAAGCTCTAAATAAACATTTACTGCACTAACTTTAAGTGAAAGAATACTTTTCAGAATAAACTGAAATGATATATGAGCTTTCTTCAAGAAAGTACCTTTTGAGTACGTGAAGAAACTTTTTTTGGGTTTTCTGTTTTAGTATATTTAAGAATTAAGTGATAATGAATGCTTAAAAAGTCTACAATTTTACAAAAATTATTTTTTAAATTTATTGATTTTAGAGAGGGGAGGGAAGGAGGCACACAGAGAGAAAAACAGATGTGTTGTTCCACTTACTTATGCATTCATTGATTGCTTCTTGTATGTGCGCTGGCAGGAGGTGGAACCCAACCTTGGCGTAAGGGGAGGACACTGTAACCAACTGAGCTTCCTGGCCAGAGCCTACAAAAATTACTTTTATCTTTAAATATAGCATACATCAGGAAAGGGTACAAATCATAAGTGTACAATTCAAAGAATTTTCACACAGTGAATGCACTCCTATAAGCAGAACCAAATTAAAACTAAAATGTTATCAATACCCTGCAAGCCTCCTTCTGTCTTTGGCCACTATCCCCGCCCCCCCAAAGATAAGCACTCTCCTAACTTCTATTGTTTCGTATTTTTTGAACATTTATACAAATGGAATTACAGAGTATTTGCTCTTTTGTGTTTTCCTTCTTTCACTCAACATTATGTTTGTAAAATGTATCTGTTGTATATTGTTCTGATTTATTCTCATTGCTTTATAACATTCTATTGTATGACTATACCATGATTTGTTTATTCATTCTTCAGTTGATGGACATTGGGGTTTTCCGGTTTGGGGATATTTTTAGTATTGCTGCTATAAACATTCTCGTACACATCTTTTGGTGTCTGTGTGTGCATTTATGTTTAATATATTCCTACGAGTTAGGTTTCTGTGCATTAAGGTGTACACATATATTTAGCTTTAGCAGATATTGCAAAAACAGTTTTCAAATGCAGTTTTACCCAAACCAGCAAAGAGTGAGAGTTCCAGTTGCTCCATATCCTTATCAACATTTGATATTGTCTTTTAATATTAGCCACTCTGGTCAGTGTGGGATGATATCATATTGTAACTTTAGTATTTCCATGATGATCAATTAAATTGAGCACATTTCCACATGCTTATTGGCCAGTAGGATACATTCTTGTAAGTTCTTGAAAAGCTTTTGTCTATTTCTCTATTTGGGATATTTGCCTTTTTTTTCTGATTCGTCTTTAGAAGTTCTTAATATATTCTGGGTAAAAGTACTTTTTCAGAAATATGTGTTGCAAATATCTTCTCCTACTCTATGGCTTGGATTTTAACTCTCTTATAGTATCTTTCATGAACCAAACTTCCTAAACTTTAATAGTCTAAACTGTCAATATTTCTCAATGGCTATGGTTAGGACTATTTGTTTTCTCTTTAAGTCTTTGCATACCCCAACATCATAAAAATATTCTTGTATGGTGTTTTTGAAAAATTAATTACTTTAGTTTTCACATTTAGAGCTATAATCCTTTGAAGTTAATTTTTTTCATATGAATGAGATTAGGGTCAAAAATTTTGTTTTCATATAAACATCCAAGTGATTTTCTACCATTTATTGAAAAGAGGATCCATTCCCCATTGTTTCTGAAGTGTCACTTAATAAAATAAGTGTCAGTCAATAAATCAGTAACCATAGGTCTATTAAGAATTTTTTCAATGTTTTTCTTTGTTTATCCCGTAATACAATATTGCCTTAATTAATGTAGCTTCATAATAGGTTTATTATCTGATGGGTAAGTCCTCCAGTTCTATTCTTTTTCTTCAAGACTGCTTTGGTTATTATTGTCCCTTTCTATTTCCATATAGACTTTAGATTCAGTCTGGCAATTTCCACAAAGAAATCTGCTGAAATTTTGTTTAGGATTTATTACATCTATAGATTAATTAGGGAGAACTGACATAATTCCCAACACTGAGTTTTCCAACTATTAAACATTACACATTCTGCTATTTAAGATATTTGGCTTCCAATCTCTATTTCTGTTTTGCAACAATAGAATTGTCCTATTTTTCCTATTTCATGTATTTTGTGGAAGTTATCTGAATAATGTTTACTACTAAATTCTAATAATTGAATTTCAAAATGTTGATTTATCCTACACCAGTCTGGTGGTGATCCCTAGGTGGTAAAGAACGGCCCATGCTTGCTCAGTGGTTAAGCATCGACCAATGATCCAGGAGGTCATGGTTCCATTCCTGGTCAGAACACATGCCTGGGTTGCCCATGTTGCCCAACCCCCACTGGGGGGCATGCAGGAGACAGCCGATCGATGATTCTCTCCCATCATTGATGTTTTTTTCTCTCTCTCTCTCTCCCTCTTCCTTCCTCTCTGAAATCAATAAATATATATTTTAAAAAGAATGGCCTATGCTTTATCAATATTCACTGTAATTCATAAAGTAATACACAGAGTAATTAATAAATTTACTACATAAATTCATAAAGGTGTGTTCTGGGTGTTTAGCCAATCTCATTTGGTTGATTATACAAATTGAACTTTCCTGGCATAAACAGAAAAAGTGGACTTGGATTTTTATAATGGTGAAATGTCACCATTTTATATTGGTGAAAATGTCAATCAGATTTCTTGTTATACATAAAAGCCAGTTCGTTTAAATAGCTAATAATAAATTAAGAAGTCATGAGAGTTGACTACCATATTTGTCTTACATATTTGTTTGTGTTTAATTTTGTTTTCATTTTTATCACTTTCTCATTTCAATTTTTAGATTGGATGAAGGCTAAAAAGCTGTTTTAGAGAGTAACTTAAGCCCTGGCCAAGTAGCTCAGTTGGTTGGAGCATTGTTCCTATAAGTTGGGGTTGCAGGATCCTGGTCAGGGTATATACGGGAAGCCGCCAATGGGTGAGTGGAACAACAAATTGATGTTTCTCTCTCCCTTCATCTCTCTCCCTAAAATCAATAAATAAAGTTTAAAAAAGAGAATAACTTAAATGGACAATTTCCTTTTTTATTTCATTATATCCTTAGAAAAAAAGTAATTCTGGGAAAAGTGCAAGTAATTAAATTCTAGTAGGATGATACTCGAGATTTCAAAATAAATATTTAGACTATAAAGCAAGCTCTTTAATAGCTCATATTGTGCCAAAAGTTCAACTAAGTGGTTTTATAGTATATTCATAAAAATTTAGTTGAAAATCACATGATTAGGTAACTTGACTTATTGAACACAACATAAAACAATAATAATTCAGATAAGCTCATTTTTTCTTATTTAATTTCTATTCCTATTGTCCTTAAGGACAAAATAATGCTTATTTCTTACAAAAGAAAGTTCAGCATAATTAATAAATGTATACAAAATACCTAAAAGCTACATTGAATAACAAAACAGAAGATAACAAAAATAAAAAATAAATTGTTAGTTTGTTGACAAAGGCTGCCCATGTCTGCAAAGTAAATTAAAGTGAAAATCTGATATCACCTGAAATCAGATTTGAACAGAATAACTGAAATTCATAAAAAATTACCTGACTCTTTTGAGAGGTAGGGAGAAGCTGCAGAAAACCAAGAGAAACATACAAAAGGAAGGACAAGGAAGTATATCATGCCCTGCACATCTCAAATCCTATGAAAGGATTTACATTTTAATTAAGGTTCTGAGATTATTTTTGAAACCAAGCAATGACTTAGTTTTACTTAGTAAAAGTGATTCCAAATTATACAAGATTTACTCTTTGATGATTAGTTATAATAGAGAATAATTTTTTAAAATTATAACATTAGTGAGTATTTATGGAGTATATACAATGCACAAGGCAAGTAGCAATCAAATAAGAAAATCTCTAGCATATATGATGCCCACAATGGGAGGTCACAATTTTGGAGTGTTAATATTTTAATGAAGTGCATGTTTATGTACAATTTGGGAGAAACAAGTATGCAAAATTATATGTTCATGGTTATTCAGGGGGGCATACCCTGGTAGAATAGTCAACAAGAAAGGTCTAGGTAGCTATAAAAAATTTAAAACATTCTGGTCTCACAATGATAAAGGTACATGGTAAAGACAAGAACCACGAATATATAGAAATGAAAGATTACATAAAAGCTTTAAAATGTTTCATTAAAAAGACATTAACTAATTAAGAAGTTGATTTAAACAACATGTCTTCTTACACTACTTGAGTAATTTATAGTTATGAAAAGAGTAAACCACTGAGAAGGTCAAATATGGAGAAAATACATACTCAGTGTTTAGTGTAAGTAGAAATGCAAAGTCCAATAAATATTAATAAAAGAAAGAAACCTAGCACGATCAGGGGCATGCATTGGTTTGGAACAGAGATATACATATTTAGAGAACAATACAATTTCTTAAAAAGAAATGCATTGCAATGGCAATTAGTTGGCAAAAATTAAGGAGAAGCTCACTTAACTAATACAACACTTAACTGAATACAAAGCTATTCCTGCAGTTGGAATTTTCTTTCTCAGGGTCCTGAACCAAGAGGCTAGGGAATATTGGCTTCAGGAACTTGAACTCACCAGTCCCAGGGTCTCCGGTCATACACACCTCATACTGGTAGCTCTGGGACAGGGTTCCTGTGCCGCTGACGTCCACCAGGTGGCCCGGAAAGTGGCCCTCAGGCACCGAGCAGCCACCCACCAGGCGGCCCTTGCTCCGCCTGCACAGCCGCACCGCGATGAACGCCAGCACCGAGAACAGGAACAGCGACGACACCGACGCCAACGCGATGACCAGGTACACGGTCAGCGGGTCGGCCTGCGCCTGGTCGGCCGCC